TTTCTTCTCTTTTTTTTTTCCCTCCCCCTACAGACAGCCAATTCAGAAATTCTCCATTTGGGGCAGATCTTAAAATCGTATGCCGCTGGGTTTCTGTCATTTGTTGTATCTGTGTCAGCTCCTGAGTAAGAACTAGCATCAGTGGTCAATGACTGAATTGCTATAGTTAAAATAACATCAAGAAATAGACACAGAAAATAAGTGTGCATTGTTAGACACAGATGACAAACACTAACAGGGAAAAATCAAGGGCAGCCAGAGTGATTAAGGAAAGGGTCATTAGGGGCACCTGGGTGGCTCAGATGGTGAGGCGTCTGCCTTTGGCTCAGGTTATGGTCTCCAGGTCCTGGGATTGAGCCCTGTGTTGGGCTCCCTGCTCAGCAGGGAGTCTGCTTCTCCCTCTACTTTCCTTCTCCCCCCACCCCCCATCCCGGCTTCTGTGTGTACGCTTACTCTCTCTCTCAAATGAATAAATAAAATCTTTTTTTTTTTAAAAAGGGTCATTAATCAGGTGTTGAAGAATGAATAAAATGTAAACAGTCAGAGAGAAGCACTCCCATGTTAAGAAAGACAAAAACAAGGAAGCGGTGAAGGGACAAAATAAACATGGTGTAGCACCGTTGACAAGACAGCAGCGTGCCTCCATGCTGGGGACAGTGGGGAATGTTAGTTGTCTAACTAAGTGGGGTTGACAACTGAGCGTATGGAGGGAAGCTTGAAGGGCTGGTAATAGACCACTGAAGGAAAGTCTTGAGCAGAAGAGCAAGGTGATGAAAGAAGTGTTTAAAAATTCAAGTCTGGGGGGCACCTGGCTGGCTCAGTGGGTTAAAGCCTCTGCCTTTGGCTCAGGTCATGGTCCCGGTGTCCTAGGATCGAGCCCCACATTGGGCTCTCTGCTCTGCAGGGAGCCTGCTTCCACCTCTCTCTCTATCTGTCTGCCTCTCTGCCTACTTGTGATCTCTGTCTGTCAAATAAATAAATAAAATCTTAAAAAAAAATTCAAGTCTGGTTATGGAATGAGTTAAGTCACAGGGACGAAAGGTACGGCATATATGAAAGGGAATATAATCAATAGTACTGTACTACAGTGTAATGGTACACATGGTAACTACGCTTCTGGTGAGCCTAGAATAACATATAGACTTAGCCAATCACTATGTTGTATATCTGAAACGAATGTAACATTGTGTGTCAACTATGCCCAAAATGAAAAAAAAAAAAATCAACTCTGGGAGAACACTGCAGGATGGACATGAAGGGAGAGCCCAAAGTAAAGGGTAGCCACTGGAAAGATGGTCATAACCTGATGAGCCAAAGGGGTCCAGAGTCTATCCTGGGGATGGGGGAGTCACTGGGAATGGAGAAGAGGAAAAGCCCAAACAAGGAATTAGAAGGATCTGTTGGCTGGGTGTAAAGGATTATGGTGCCAAGAACAGAGCCAAGGCAGTGAGGAAGAAAAGCTGGGTTGGAGGTCAAGGAGGCTTTTGGACATGGTGAATATGAAGCAAGAACAGGACATTAAAGGGTGAAATACCCAGGAGCAGATAAGCTATAAACAGGATCTCAGAGAAAGAAATGGATCCAAACTAGAGACTTAAGAGCTTTCTATAGATAAGGGAAATCTCAAGTCCTAGAATGAGTAAGAAAGGGGAAAAGTGCATAAGAACACAACGGGGATCAACAGCTGAACCTCAAGCTGTTTCAAAACTGGAAGTTCACAAAAATATGGGCGCAATGAAAGGAACAGTAAAGGGGCGATCAGTGTGGAATAAAAAATTCAGGATCCAAGTGTCACAGAATGAAAGGAGTTTCAAGAAGGACTTGATGATAGATGATGGATGACAAGTAAGGGCCAGAGCATATTAAAGATACCATTATATTACTTACAAATGAGCAGGGGGTCTCCCTTCTCCACTACTGACACAGTATATACAATTATGTAATTGATTAGCAGACAGTAAAAGGGGGCTTGTGGCTATAAGACGTGCTCTGTTTTATTTTTTTTAAAGATTTATTTATTTTGGAGAGAGCATGCATGCACATACATGATTGGAAGAGGGGAAGACAGAGAGACACTTCAAGCAGACTCCCCACTGAGCATGGAGTCCCCCACAGAACCTGATCTCAGGACCCATGAGATCATGACCTGTGCCACCAAGAGTCGGATGCTTAACCCACTGGGCTACCCAGGCATCCCTGTTTTAAGGTTTTTTTTTTTTAATGATGAGAGAGCTATATTAAGATGCTTCCACTCTTGGGGTGCCTGGGTGGCTCAGTCAGTTAAGCACCTGCCTTCAGCTCAAGTCACGATCCCAGGGTCTTGGGATCGAGCGCCGCAACCCCTGCTTCTCCTTCTTCTGCTCCCCCCAACTTGTGTTCTTTGTCAAATAAATAAATAATCTTTAAAACTGATATTGAAAAAAAAGATGCTGCCATTCTTTATACAGCCAAGGTAGTTATCAAAAATGAAAGATAATTCTGTTACTATGGATTGATTCCGAGGAATGTCATTTGGAATTTGTATTCTTCTGGGAGCTACATTGTTATATAAAAGTAATAACACTGAAGATACTGAGAATTGGCCATATATTATAAGTGTGTGGGTAGCATATTAAAGTGTGCAAGTTGTGACAGAAGTTTTAAGAAATATCCCAAAGCATTTAAAACTGATACAGGGATTAAGTCGCTTACAGGACTCTGCCAAGCACAGGCAAAGATGACGTGTTTCTGAGATGGGGTTCTCAAGAACCCCTTGAGCAATAACGCCTCTCACCTGCTTATGAAATACCCAGTCCGTGTGCAGGGTTCAGCCTGAGACAGACTTGCATCTACTTTTAATTTTAGCTGTGAACCATCTTGGGAAAGCACCACAGCAAGAATGCAATGTTTCTGGTCAGTTTTGGTGTTAAAGCCACTCCAATTGAGTGACGAGAGATGATATTAGAGAAAGCTCCCTGGTTTTCCACTGTCACTAAGGGACTGGAAGCTGGTTGCTAGAATAGGTGTGTGAACTACTGTGCAATAAAGTCCCTCTGCTTTTCCCCACATGAAACAAATTAATAATGAATAATGATCAGAGACAGATCCAGGTTTTGAGGGGCCTGAAGCTTACATGATTTGGGTGCCCTCTTTAAGAAAAAAGAATTCAAGGTTACCAATACAAGACACAGTCTGAAGCTATTTATTCAGAATGAGGAGCAGAAGGCACCTGCAGTTGAAATGCCATAAAGCAGGATGGTCACCGGCTCCACGATAAATCCACCTTGGCTCATGACCAATTATTAGAAATAAGATGTGGAAAGGGAGACACAACAGGTCATTGGGCAGAGGGAAAAGACAAGACAAAAACGCTCCTTAAGGAATACGGGAGCACAGAACAAGAAAAGGACAAAGATAAAATTTCAGAAAGAACCCCAAATTGTGAAGTGTGGATAATGGAGATGGGGGAAGAGAAAGAACGAATCACTTCATAGACCACACAATCAGAACCTTTACTTCCCAGTGATCAACAATCACATTGCTTCTAGGAGGCATGCATGGGAGGACTAGGTTTTGGGGAAACACCAGTTCTCTTCACTGCATGCACTTGGCAAGTGTTTGTTGAATGAATGAATGGAAACAAGACAAATTTACTTCTTTTTCTTACTCTTCACCATGCTCTGCTTTCCTCTGATGTTCCAACATACATGCATGTTTTTGCGGGCACTGGCTAGAGTGTCAAAGCAACAGCTCAGGCCAACCTCTCCTCTGGCGATTCAGACTGTCGATCCTCAAGAGACCAAGTCAAGCTATCTCCACTCAAAATTGATTTTTAAGCATGCTCAGAGTCTCCCCCTCCTCAGATGATGCATACAAATGGCTACTGTGGGCCATTCTACTTAACTCCCTTCCACCTTCTTTCTGGCTCTTTCTAAATCAGATCCTGCAGGTATATTTCAGAAATTAGTGGGAATCGGGGCAGATTCATGCGGGACTCCAGCCAGGGCTGAACTGAAACACAATGCCTGAATTTCAAATTTTAGCAATTATGACAGCCTCAGTGACAACTGAATATATCAGCCATGATGAGGTTTCCAGGAAGATACAGGCAAGCCTCATGCACTTGGTCAGCTGCAAACCTAGGACAGGACCAGGGGAACCCAGGCTCACCAGCTCCACACAGGACAGGCTTCGGTCACTGGGAGCTGTTATGAAAGGACACAACAGGGCATTCCCTGACCAGCTATGGGCCTCTGCTTCACAAAGGGATTGATTCCCTTTGGGTAATACATGCCCCACACCTTCCTGCAAGTTCTAAAAAAACAGCCGGAGTAGGTTAAAACTAAGAGCCCACCCTCTCTCCTTTAAAACAAAACAAACAAACAAAAAAAAAACAATGAACACGTTTTACTAAACGATTCTTCCTACTTCACTTACCAAATTTTCTAAGGAAAAGAGCTTGGAGAAGAGCAGAACCAGAATAACACTCTTACTACTTCAATACTACAAAAATCCCAACACTGATGTTCTGTTTAGGGCAAAGGACATGAAATCAGTGAGGCAAAGCAGCCACCTCAGGGATTAGAAGGCCTTAAATGGAAAAAAAAATCATTCAGCCCTTTTCTGGCTAAGTGGTTCAACCGCTGGAAAAGTAACTGAAAGTCTCCAGACCTCAGTTACTTGGTTTTGTAAAATGGGGGCGAGTACACCTCTCACAGGACTGCTGAGGATTGAGGAAATGCTAGTCAAGTACCAAATATAACTGCACAGAGAGTGCTAATTAAATGCTAATATTTAATAGTAGCAGTAAAATTATTGTTCTGCCTCCCCCAGTTCACACCAACGGCAAATCTGGCCCAACCCCCACTCTCACCTCGCAAGATCCGGGCCCGGGCACTGTTGCACTCCAGCATGCAAGAGAGACCCCCCGCCCGCCCGCCCCATATGCTGCTGCGCTACTGGAAGCCCCCCACCCCGGGCCGGCCAGGGGCCCTCAGGTTACCGCTACGGTCCATACTAACCTGAGATGCCGGCTCCTATCACGACTACGTCGAACATGTGGCCCGCGTTACTCGACTTCTCCTCACTCTCCATGCCCTGGCTGAGACTCTCCCGGGGCGTAGGTATAGGAGTGGAACGGGCCAAGGGCGGGGCGGGCCCTTCTACCGACTCTCGGGGGGAGTCCGGGGGCGGAGCCGATTCTTCCACCGACACTCGTGCAGAGCCCGGCACTGAGGGCGGAGCAGCCCCTTGCACTGCTCCGTCAGTGGAGCCCGGGGGCGGAGCCGATCCTTCCGCGGATGTTCGGGGGGCACCTGGCACTGAGGGCCGGGTGGACCCTTGTGCCGACCCTCGGGAGGCGTTCCTGGGCGTAAGAAGTCCTTGTACCGAATCCCGGGGGGAGCCGGGCACGGAGGGCTGGGTGGACCCTTGTGCCGACCCTCCGGGGTTGTTTCTGGGTGGAAGAGGTCCTTGTACCGAATCCCGGGGGGAGCCGGGCACGGAGGGCTGGGTGGACCCTTGTGCCGACCCTCGGGAGGTGTTCCTGGGCGTAAGGGGTCCTTGTACTGAATCCCGGGGGGAGCCGGGCACGGAGGGCTGGGTGGACCCTTGTGCCGACCCTCGGGAGGTGTTCCTGGGCGTAAGACGTCCTCGTACCGAATCCCGGGGAGAGCCGGGCACGGAGGGCTGGGTGGACCCTTGTGCCGACCCTCGGGAGGTGTTCCTGGGCGTAAGAGGTCCTTGTACCGAATCCCGAGGGGAGCCGGGCACTGAGGGCGGGGTGGACTCGGAGAGCTGGGCGGATCCTTGCTGCGGAGTCGCGAGGGAGCTGAGCTTGGAGGGCGGGGCGGACCCTTGCAGCGACACTCGAGAGGAGTCCAAGAGCGGTCCAGATCCCGGCAGTGAACTCCGGGGGGTACTGAGCACTGAGGGCGGGGGCGACCCTTGCACCGACACTCGGGAGGACTCCGAGAGCACAACAGATGCGTCTACTGACAGTCGGGGAGAGCCGGGTCCTGAGAACTGATAGGATCCTTGCAATGACAGTAGCGGGGAGTTATTGGGTACGGGAGGCCCAGGCACCGAACTCCAAGAAGAGCCGATCACTGAGGGCGGGGCGAGCCCGAGTGCTGACACCTCGGGAGTGTTATTGGGTGTAAGAGGTTCTGGAATCGGTAACCTGAGGAAGCCGGGCGAGAAGGGCAGGACAAACCCTTGCCCTGATTCTTGGGTAGAGGTCGTGGATGTAGGACGTTCTGGTACTGATTCTCGGGAATAGACGAGCACTGCGGGCGGGGTGGACTCAGATACCGACGCTAGAGGGGGACCTGAGAGCGAGGCAGGTCTTTGTACCGGTACCCGGGGGTGGCCTGCGTCAGGGGTGGAAGCTGGCGCGGCCCCATCGGCGGTGCTCTGGCGGGTGGCAGACATGGGGATCTGGTGGTTCAGGCCGTGGGCGCCGAAGCCCCAGAGGCCAATCCTAGAGTCTGTGTTGGTCCTGGAGCCGGGAGTGGAGCGGAGTTGGGCGGGCGCGCCGGAGCTCTTCTCGTAACCGGGGTCCGGTATGGAAACGTTCGACAGGAAGCTGGAAAACGGACTGGAGAAGGTCCGCCACTCAGAACCGCTGCTTGACCCGGAGGCGGAGGATGTGACCGCGCCCAAGTTGGAGTCGGGGTCCGAGATGTGGGAAGCTGTTCCCCCGGCTCCAGGCGCAGGCTCCGCCTCGCAGCCCCTCCCGCTGCCACTGCCTCTGGAGGCGGCGGAGCTGTGTGAGCTCATGGTTCTGGAGCGCGTGGGGCGGGTGACGACGTTCTGCTCCCCGCCCCTCCCCCACGGGCGCGCGCCTCGCCAGCTCCTGGGTCCGGTACCCGCGCGCTCCCGAGGCCGCCCCAGCAGACCAGCCCACTGGGCGGCGGGGGAGCCTAGGGCTAGCGCAGCGCGGCTCCGTCTCTCTCGCCCACCCGGAAGGGCGGGCGACGCCACCCAAGGGCGCAGTGGCGGCCCCGTGGGGGTTTGAGCCTAGCACCTTTATTCTCACACCCTGACTAAAAGAAGATTGAGCCAGGTGGGGTAAGGGAAGCGGGTAATTAAAGAGCAGGGACGATGACTATGGGGTCCCGGCGCTGCACCGCACTTGGGTGGGCTCCTTTGTGACGTCACAAGGGGCTGGGTGAGGTCTGCGCAGCCGCGGGCGCCCTCTCCCTAGGGAGGGGGCGGGGTGAGGTGGGAAGCCGTTGGGGCCAACCGGCGATTACTAATTCTCTGTAGGGTTGTCCAAGTTGAGGTGCTTGACCCCAAACGAAGCAAGTAGGCAAGAAAATTAAGAACTCAACTATCAGGGGCGCCTGGGTGGCTCAGTCCGTTAAGCTTTTGCCTTTGGTTCAGGTCATGAGCCCAGAATCTTGGGCTGGAGCCCCCGATCAGTCTCCCTGCTCAGTGGGGAGCCAGCTTCTCCCTCATCCCTGCCTCCTCATCCCTTATGCGCGCGCTCTCTCTTAAATAAGTAAATGAAGTCTTTGAAAAAAAGGAAATAAACAAAAAAAAAATCCCTCAGTTATCTCAGATTAAGTGGGACCTGCACTTTAAAAGTGAAGATCAAGGGCTAGTTAAGGAGCACAAGCAAACAAAACACGTGTTTCCCCATCCTACCAAAAAGATAGTGAACGTATTTTACTGTACAACCAGCCTCATGCTAGTTTTATCCCTTCTTTAAATTTCCACTTTATCCGCCTAGAGCTGATTTTGTCATCACTAGAACCCTCAAAACAAATAAAACATCTAGAGTAAGTGACAAAAACTCCAGGAAGTTAACTAGAATCCATGCCCACCTGTAAATATTTCTCCTGCTTCTTGAGTTGTGTATCAATCTTGTTGAAGAAACTGTAAGGGAATATAGATATAGTCTTTTTATCCAGTTTTTTTAAAGTTTTTTTTTAATGCATTTATTTGAGAGCGAGAGAGAGAGACCATGTAGGGGGGCAGAGGGAGAGGAAGAAGCAGACTCCCCGCTGAGCAGGGAGCCTGATGCTGGACTGGATCCCAGGCCCCTGAGATCATGACTGGAGCTGAAGGTAGATGCTTAACTGACTGAATTACCCAGGTGCCCCTATTTACCCAGTTTTAATAGTTTTTACTTTCTAGAAAAGTAGTTGACGCATGACTAAATCATTTTTATCTTGTTAGATTCTGAAGTAAAAAAAGAGGAAATAATGGATATAAAGAATTCAGACCTTTCTAATATGATTCGTCCAGCTTTGTCTTTATCCCTGTTGCGTTTATTTCTTTTCATTCAAATACTGATTTCGTACTATGTGCTAGGCACAGGGCAAAGTACTGGATGGAGATGTGCAGGCGACACAAGACAGCCTACCGTCTACTAGAGGACCTGGTAAAGGAGAAGGCAACCACATGCTTGATGTGTTCACATAAGCTCTGATAAATGTAATGTTGGAAAGGCAGCTAGTGATAAGAAAGTGTTAGAGTGTCTTGATCACTCTGGAGGTTAACTTTGGGGAGGTATGTAAAAACGTCCCAGAAAGGGCCTAGGTGGCTCAGGTGGTTGAGCGTCTGCCTTCGGGGTCATTATCTCAGGGTCCTGGGATCGAGCTCCATAGGGCCCTGTGCTGAGCAGGGAGTCTGCTTCTCCCTCTCTCCCTCTGCCCCTGCCCCCACCCCCAGCTTGTGTTCATGCTCAAATAAAGAAAGAAAATCTTAAAAAAAAAAAAGTCCCAGGGGCACCTGGATGGCTCAGTTGTTAAGTACCTGCCTTGGGCTCAGGTCTTGATCCCAGGGCCCTTGGATGGAGCCCTGTGTCAGGCTCCCTGCTCAGCAGGAAGCCCTTTTCTCCCTCTTCCACTCCCCCTGCTTGTATTTCCTCTCTTGCTGTCTCCCTCTCTCTGTGTCAAATAAACAGATAAAATCTTAAAAAAAAAAAAAGAGCCAAAATGAGGGAGCAATGTGGGCAAAGGGCCTGTGGTAGGAAGAAGCATGGTTCCTTGATGAAGCTAAAAGCCAGACAGTAGAGCTAAGCAAGGGGAGGAAAGGAGCACAGGAGACAAAACTACGGAGGTTAGCTGGGCCAAAGGATACCCCTTGGTCTGTATTCTAAAGCAGTGGAAGCCATTGCAAGGTTTTAAGCAGGGGGTGTTATGACAAGATTGCATTTTGAAAAGGTCTATCTGCCTGCTGTGTGAATAATGGGCTGAAGGAGACAAGAGTAGATAGATACAGGGAGACCAAAACTTGGAATTCTTCAAAGAAAGAGGTGATAGTGTCTTGGACTAAGGTGGGTGGTGGCAGCTGGAGAGCTGTGGACATATTAGAAACATTTACATGTAAAATTGACAGGACTTGGTTGTGGCTAGAATTTGGAAGATCATGAGCTTATTTTGGACATGTTCAGTTTCAAGTGCCTTTGAGACATCCAGATGAAGATTATAGAGTAGACAATTGAACGTAGAGCCTGGGATGAGAAGCAGGAGTTTGCCTAGAGACAAAAGTGTGGGAATCTTATTAAATAAATAATGGATGGGTTGGGTGAGTGGAAATATGGGTATTTTCTTCTCTTCGTTTTATTTGTTTGTACTATATATTTTATATATCTTTTGTAATAAAAACAATAAAAGTTATTTTAAAATAGATAAAGGAAAAATTTTGACATATCCTACAATTATTATTTCCTCCCTTTTGTGACCTTGGGCATATTACTTAACTTCTCTGTGTCTATCTCCTCAGATATAAAGTCTCATAAGCCATTGTATCTGTCAGGGATCCGGTAGGAAACAGAAAACTCTAATTAAATCATTTGAAGAAACTGACAAATATATATATTTTTAAAGTTTTTATTTACTTATTTGACAGAAAGAGAGATAACGAGAGAGGGAACACAAGCCAGGGAAGAGGGAGAAGCAAGCTTCCTGCTAAGCAGGGAGCCCGACGTGGGGCTCCATGCAAGTCTCCATGTGGGGCTTGATGGGGTCCTGGGGTCATGACCTGAGCTGAAGGCAAATGCTAAACAACTGAGCCACCCAGGTACCCCATAAAGGAAATATTTTAAAAGAGATAAGTAAGATGAAGAGAAACCACAGGGAATCAGTCAGTATCCCCAGGCTGGTGAGAGCAAGAAGGCATCATTGTGAAGGGGTAAAGGGAGAGAACAGTTATCAGAACCTGGTGACGGTGGTGTTTGGTAGGGGCTGCCTACACGAGCTGTGGCCTTTAGTTCAGGGAGGTTTACAGCCCACAGGAAACTCACAGAGAGGGAACCAGGACAAATAATATCCAAAACTTCCTCGCCGGCCTTCCCCTGGTCCTTTCCATTGCCCTACCCCAACCAGAAAATAGAAGGCAAGAGATTCTGTTGATGCAGCTCTTACCAATCAGAAGAAACTGGAGAAGAGTGGTGGGTGCACCTGGAAGGGCCAAGGAATCTAACCAGTATCCTTGTAGTGAGGGGTCAATGAGCAAATACAAAATACTTAGACAATTACTCAATACATACTCACATTTTAATTTTTAAAAACTGCATTATATTCATATCATGTTATCCTCTAACATGAAGCATGAAATACTTTTTAATTTTTAAATATAATGCATAGCTTGGAGATGAATATTTTTGTGCAGAAAGTATCAAACATATTTTTTTAGAATTTCCTTGAGATGGAGTCCTAAAACTAAAATTATGGGGTAAGAGAGTAGGAGATTTTCTAAAACTCTTTGAAATTGCTTGCCCAAGAGATCATACAAATGTATACTTCATCAACAATGTCTAAGAATGACTATCTAGGGCCCTAGGATCTGAACAAAGCTCTCATTGCTCCTTCAAAAAAAAAAAAAGACTGTCCAAGTTCTTACTGCCCTCACTCTCACATTAAGCCATTAAGGAAGCTAACTTTTTAAACTTTCTTTTTTTTTTTAAGATTTTATTTATTTCTTTGACAGACAGAGATCACAAGTAGGCAGAGAGAGAGGAGGAAGCAGGCTCTCCGCTGAGCAGAGAGACGGATGCAGGGCTCCATCCCAGAACCCTGGGATCATGACCTGAGCCGAAGGCAGAGGCTTTAACCCACTGAGCAACCCAGGTGCCCCCTTTTTAAACTTCCTTAACTTGAAAGGTGAAAAAGCAGCATGACATTGCTATCTGCAACAGTGTTTCTTTGATTACTGATCAATTACTTTTTTCAGATATTTATTAACCATTTCAGTTTCTTCTGTTGTGAATGATCAGTTCATGCCTTCATGTAGTTGATTTCTGTAAGTGATTTGTACAGTAAGATATTACCCCCTCCTTGGTATTTTCACTGAAGATAGTTTATTCCAATTTATATTTTAGTATTGTTTATGGCATTGTAGATAAGCAGAAATTTAAAGTGTAGGTGCTTGTATCTGTCTTTTGGTAATTTCTCCCATTCCTTTTAAACTTACAGATATGAAGGATGAATTCTGTTTTCTTTTGTGTTTTGATGGTTGGTTATTTTAGAATTTATTAAATCCTAATCTACTGGGATGTATTTTGTTATGTTATAGAGTGAGGATCTAAATAGACACTCCATCTCAGGTTTCAGCACCAAATAAATAAATAGACACCCTCCACACGCCTAAACAGTTAACCGCTCATAACAAAAGTATCTATTGAAAAAATCCTTCCAGGGGCACCTGGGTGGCTCAGTTGGTTGAGCCTCTGCCTTTATCTGCCGGTAGGGAGTCTGCCGGTAAGGAGTCTGCTTCTCCTCCCTTTGCTCCTCCCCCGGCATGTGCTCTTTCACTCTCTCGTTCTTTGTCTCTCTTGCTCTTTCAAAAAGAATAAATAAAATCTTTTTAAGAAAAAAGAAGAAGAGAAGAAAAATCCTTCCATTTTCCATGGATTTGCTTACATAATATAACATAAATACTAAGATCTGGCTTTGGACCATCTCT